CCTCACCCTGCCTCCCAGCCGGGCTGCGGGCGGGGGGCGCTGCGGGAGAGAGGAACGGCGGCGGCGCTGCGCCCTTGCCTTGGGGGAAGAGAGGGCAGGACCCTTCCAAGGACCGCTCCTGCAGCTGGGGTCGCTCAGGGAAGAGTGGGCGGCCGCGCCGCTGCGGTCCCCTCTACCGCAGCAGCCTGGGCGCTGCTCTCACCTGAGTGAGTCCTCCCGGCCGTGCGGAGGAAAAGGGTGCTGCTCGCCCAGGCTGGAGTTTCGCCTCAGGTGAGCAGAACTCCCGGGGGAGGGGGGGGGGGCCATTGGTCGCTCCGGTTTGCCCCTTACTCTGCCACTGATTTTTGGCAAACATTTGCGTTCTTGGATACTCGTTCGTCTACGATTTGATGGTGGTACTGGTTGTTGGAAAAAGGGCACCCAAAGCCCATTTAAAGAGAGGCTCAAAAGCGTCCTTCAAGGCTCCAGCTGAGCAGGTCCTGGGAGGTCAGAAGGGAGGAGGCTGTGGTAGCTCATTAATCTGTGCCCTGAATCGACTTCCCAAAGTCCATAGGTTGCCTTTAGTCAGATGCCATGTGTGGAAGACTCTTCTTTGTGGTCAGAAAGACTCCCCCTCCACTGCACCTCACTCCCTGCCAAAAGGATCCACTCTAATTTGAAAGCAACAACCAATGTGTGAACTTCCTTGAATACATTCGCCTTGATTAAAAACTTAAAAACTTTGCTGTCAAAAGATACCAGTGTGGAATTTTAATATTGTAAATATATGACCAATTAAAATAGGCAAAGTGTTCTGTGTATATTAAGAAGAAATTAAATGACGTGCATGTTTAGCAAACTGTTCTGTCACCTAAATCTCAGTATAGGACTGAAGCGTGGAAAGGAAGTCAAACTGTGTAATTATTTAACAATTCCAGGGCTCTCTGTGTGTACAGGTTACATCTCCTGAGAACCCAAAATGTTCTTGGAGTTGCGAGTGAGGAGGTGACTTTCTTTGCCCAGGCTTTCCTGGTCAGCAACTCCACTGTTGAAGAGAATATAAAATGACAGCTAATCCTCCAGGTAATTTAAGAATATAAGCCCTAACATATCTGAGCTTTCTCTAAGTCAAAAAGGGCAATCTTAGTTCAGGTCGCACATGGGGACAAAGTTGTCGCTAATGCACAGTTGAGTCAAGGCACTTTTCTTATACCTAGTATTCCAAAAGGAAATTAAAAAAAATATTTTCTTTAACTTTATTTATTTATTTTAATTTGACCAGAGAGGGACAGAGAGAGAAAGTGAGAAAGTAAGCCACCAGGTCCAGGACTCAAACCGAGTTCAGACATGTGGGAGTCCAGTGCCCTTATTCACCACACCATCTACCGGCCTCTAAAAAAGCAAAATTTTTTTAAGTCGTGTGTTAGTTCTCTGAAACTCATTCTGTTTTCTTCCATAGGAAAGGTGTCCCCACCTGTACTGCTTAACATGAATATTTTCACATTTTGAGAGATTTCATTTGACAAGATTTGATTTCCTTTTTAACATATCTTGCCTGTTACTATTTCCCATTGCTACTTCAATTTTTCAGAATGAAAACACCAGCATTAATTGAAATAAAAAGGGTCCTGATCAATAGAATTTAGGGATGCCAGATCAACCAAGGTTTTTTTATACTAATCTCTGAGAGTATTTTTTTTACAGTGGTCTGCAACGTGTAAATTTTTGCCGTGTTTTTCTGAAGTTGAAGGGGGAAAATATTTTAAAATGTAGATGCTAGCTTTAGCCAAAGTTTTGCTTTTTTTTCTCCTCAAATCCTTCTTAATGGTATCCGAGCATTTTTTTTTTAATTTTCTTACCAATCACATAAAAATAGCCTATTTAATCCACTTCTTAATTTTCACTCAGTATTTCTTGAGTTGAATTTCCAAATTTAGATTTATTTCCCCTTTCCAGCATCCCTTTACCATACCCTGATATTATTAGAAACTAAGGTATTCTGATTTCATTATGTTCCTCCACACTTGGTGGAATGGTTTTTATTGCCTTCACGTATGAAGGGACTTCATAAGTTTGTGAAAAAATGTGATGAAAGTGAATTTATTTTGATTCAAAAAGTTTTGGAATCCATGCATAGTTTTTGCATAATATTTTCCATGAACATTTTGGGGACCCCTTGTAAGGTATCACTCACTGGGCTCTGTTGACTCCCAGATGCACCTACAAACAGTTTAGACCTGCGGCCACCCAGAGGCATTTGGGAGATCTAATTGTGATGCAGAATTTATCTACCCAACTGTAAAATGCCTTCTGCTTTGTGCCCTGACTCTTCACATCACTGCCTACTTTCGTTTTATTGCCCGTCTGTATTTTCTTACATGCCTTTATTATGACTTAGTTTTCTCTGTTGTTTAAAATAATACCTTTAGCAACCATGATAACCCATTTTTCTTTTTTCTGGATCATTGGGATCCATCTAAAATAAAACTAGGCCTAACTCCAGTCACTGGCTCTCTTGCCTAAATTCTTATCACTGCTATTCATTTAGAAATTGAACAAAGGGTAATAATAAGCTCCCTGTTCTAGGACTTTCTTTTATTTAGGATTCCATTCTATTACGACAGATTTTAAATTTACTCCTTCAATGCTGTTGTAAACTGGAATAAAGGAAGTGAATAAAAATTAGTTGTCAGGGCTTCAGCCTTGACCTTTCCTTTTTTGCCTTTTTGCCTTTTACGCCTTTTTTTATATGGGTCACATGATTCTACTTGTTCCTTTCCAGGCTGTGTATATTTGAACTTCAGCTCCAGCTTCTTCAATTTCAGAGTCCCTTCAGATTCTTCTCATCTGTCTCGTCCTGGGGCCTTTCCACAGCTCCATTCTGCAGTGCCTACTCTTAGACTAACCGCATCTTTCACAGACACTGCCAGCTACACAGCTTCTGTTTCTCTGTTTCCAGCTCCATGCAGGCGGCTGAGATCTTCCTCTCCCCATCTCTATCAGAGACCAAAGTCTTTACTGGGAAGTAGCGGATTTCTCTTTTTCCAAATTTCTCAGGTATGCTGAAATGAGAGCATATTCGAATCTTCCATAGTTTCTTCTATTGAATTCCTTTTCATGATTTACAATGCATTTTTCTCTTTAAAAATCTAGCATAAGTTTCAAGCATGAGTTTTTCTTTTATCTGAAAGCATGAACTTTTGTAGGCTGGTAGGCTTGGGCTTGAGGTCTGTTCCCTTGTTTTGGATGAGTTGCTGGATGAATTAAGATTAGCTGCCAGTTACAAAGACCACAAAGAACACATTTACAAAGTTTATAGAGAGATCATAGGATCCAGGGCTGGTGTGGTTATACGATCTCTTAGAACTAGGCTGGTCCTACCTTTTGGATCTACCATACATAAGATTAGGCCTTCAACTTCAGGGTCCAAGATGGAGCCTTAGCCCTCATAGCCACGTTCAAGGTAGCAGAAAGGAGGGAAAAAAAAAAGGGAAAAGGAAGAAGGGGAAGGCAAGAACCCATGGTTTTGTCTCGTCTCGTCTCTTCTCTTCTCTTCTCTTCTCTTCTCTTCTCTTCTCTTCTCTTCTCCTTTCTTCTCTTCTCTTCTCTTCTCTTCTCTTCTCTTCTCTTCTCTTCTCTTCTGGAAAGAGAAGGAAAGGGGCCACATTGCAATCTATTCTCTCAGGATTTTTGGGCAATTATGTACATGTGCACACTGTATTTTTCAAGCCTTCAGGGCTGGGGCTCGAACCAAGCAGTTGGTCATATGAGATCCACCCACCTTACCCTCTATGCCATGTGCTGCTGGCCAAAGTCCATGGTTTCTTAAGGAAACTTCCTGGAAGCTGTGATGTGCTGCTTATTATATCTTTGCCCAGAAGTTAGTGACATGACCCTTAGCTAGAATAGAGACTGGGAAATATATTAATTTTATTTATTCATTCATTTATTTTAATTTGACCAGAGAGGGGAGGGGGTAGTAAGAAAGCAAACCACCAGGTCTAGGACTTGAACCGTGGTCAGCCATGTGGGAGTGTCCAGCACCTTAACCACCAGGCCACCCGTTGGTCCCAATATATTTTAAGTTTTTAAATGAAAATGATTTATTCCATGAGTGAAAGAGATAGAGAGGAACAGAGACATAGCACCCCCATAGTGTCCTGATGCCACAATCCTCCTCCAGCCTGAGCCAGCCTGGATCACATGCACACGTGTGCCTGGTGTACTCAGAGAGGGCTCCAGACACAAACTGTAACCCTCCCATGCAGGTCTGCCTTGCAGAGCATTGTGTTTTACTACTGTACCAGTTTGGCCCCAAGAAAGGGGGAAATACTGCCCTTATCCCAGACAGTCTTATTCTTAGCTAAAAAGGGGTAGAGGATCACAGCCTTAGGATAAAAGGGGGAATAAATAATGGGGTATCCAAACCTCAGTAATTCTAGACCACTTTTTCCTTGACTAATGCTACCTATCTCACCAGATTCTCAGGACTAAAATAAAATACTGTACTGCATCTTCTAAAGTATCTAACATAAAATAAACTTTTAGAAGTACATGCTAAGGGACCAGTAGTTAGCATAATGGCTATGTTGCTGGACTCCCATGTAGTCGACTGCGGTTCGCATCCCAGACCCGGTGACTTAAAACTCAGGCCGGGCGCCGTGTGTGTGCGTGCCCAAGATCCCGAGAGGAAAGCAGGAGTAGGGATTATGGTGTGGCCATCCTCCCTGGGGGGTGATTTCTCACTTTCTGTCTCTCTGTCTCTCTC